GTGGGGGCGAGGGCTGGTGGGATGCTGATGCCAGTACGGAGAGACATGACCTGATGGCGGGCAGAGGGAAGAGGAAGAGACAGAAGAGACACATGAGTCGGATGGGACGGATGAGACAGAGAGGAGATAAAGTGCGCAGCAGTGCGGTACACACAACAGGGAAGGGATGATCTGAGCAGATGCGCAGTGTGGTGTGGAGCGGTGCTGTGAGGTGTTGTTGGTGCGTGTGGGGGTGGCATTACATGGAGCTGCAGCTGCAGCATCTTGAGGTAGTCTATGGCCTCATCCAGCACCGACGCCTTGTCCGTCTGCACCGCACAGCACCGCACAGCACACACGCAGATGGAGAGTGTGAGAGGTCAGACACGGCACGCACGAGCACAGAAGCAAGGAAGGCAGTGGACGCAAAATGGGCGAGCGTGGGGTGGAAAGAGCGAGAGGCGAGGGAAGCAAGCGAGGGAGGGAGGAGGCGGATGGAGCGAAGGGGGAGGGGCAGCGAGCGAGGGGGTGAGGGGGCAGGCGGCGAGGAAGAGCGAGGCAGCGACCTTGTTGGAGTTGGGGATGAGCTCCTGCAGTGCCTTCCTGCGCTCGTTGATGCGATGGGGAGGGAGCGGGGGGGGGGGCAAGAGACGAGGGAGCGGGGAGCAGGGAGCAGGGCGTGGGGAGCGCGGAGCGGGGGCGCACCTTGTTGGAGTTGGGGATGAGCTCCTGCAGTGCCTTCATGCGCTCGTTGATGCGGTCGCGCCGCCGCTGCTCACGCACGGCCCATGCACACACACACACACACAAGCACGCACACACGGAAGTGGAGCGTGTTATACGCAGGGAAGATGGTAGCTGCAAGTTGCTACATGCATGGGGCATACAATAGGCAAGAGCAGGGGCGCGCGCGCGGGCGCGGGCAAGGCATCATGACTCACGCGCTCCGACAGGTTGTGCACGTGAGCAGCTCTCGCGCGCTTTGCCGCGCTGCCCTCACTCCCCTCGCGCCCCGATAGGCTCGGCCCCCCCATCGACCGCCTCCCCGCCCCGCCCGTCTCCCCTGCGCCGCCCGTCCGCCGCGTGTCCGCGGATTCCTCGCGCACGTCCTGGCGGGGGATAGGGACGCGGGGGAAGAAACGAAAGTGCGGCAGGGGTGGGGAAGTGTGGCAGCAGGGTGAGGGTGGTTGGGAATGGCGGCACACTCACGCGCGAGCGTAAAGGTCACGCGCGTCAAGCGCGAAACAGGAAAATCTCATGTCCCCTGGCGGACGCTCTCTGCGTCTTCGCGCATGCATTTGCGCAAGCAGCGCGCAGCGCACCGCGAGGCACACGCGCACCTCGGACTTGCCGCACTCGCTTCCTTCGGCGGCCTTCCTCTTCCTGCCGCCGCCCCACGCCCCCGACTCGTCGCGGCTGCCCCACGTGTTGCTGGTCCACGCGCTCCGCTCCTTCATCTCGCGCATCGCCCTCGCCAGCCTCTCCTCCCCGTTCCGCATCCCCGTTCCGCCTTCCGCCCGTCCCGGCCACATCCTGTCCGCTTCCCCCGCTCCCACGCTAACCGCCATGCTGCCCTTCCCCCTTTCCCCCATCGCCCCTGTATTCGCGCTGTTGCAGCGCATGGCGGCTGCGCCCATCCCCGTCAGCACGCGCCCCCCCGCGCCCCCCGCACTGGCGGAGTAGCTCTGCACCTGCCGCTGCCTCTCCGCGCTCCCCGCCATCGACGCCGCCAGCGGCGCGTACGGCACGCGCTGGCCCGCCAAGGACACGCGGTTCGGCTCTCCCATTCCGCAGTTCCCCGCAGAAGCGCACACGTCCGCGGAGCCAGTTTCAGCCACCCCGCCCAAGCCTTTCCGCATCGCGTGGCCGTCGTAGGAGCTTGCACCTTCACCACCTCCCGCAAGTTTACCGCCACTGGCGGAACCGACCACCCCTCCCCCCTCACCATTCCCCGCGGGTGCCCGCCCGCACCATCTGTTGGCTGGCGCTGCGGCCCCTTCCGCTGCATGCGCGCCAACCTCTTCCCTGGGCTTGCGCGCAACGGCGCTAGGCGGGGATTTGAGCGGCGGAAGCATGGAGCCGGGAGCATTCCACTGCGCGGAGTCTCCCGCCGCTGAGCCCGCGCGGGGAGGTGCAGACCCGCGAAAGGAATGAGGAACGAGGCCCTTGGCGTGCGCGCGGCTGTATAGCGCGGCTGGGCGGGAGAAATGGGAGAAGTTGAGCGGAGGGGAGGGGGACTTCGCGGACGGGGGGGCGGCGGGGAGCGGCTGGGTAAGGTGGCGCGCGCCCGGCAGCTGCGCGGGCTGGCGGAGTGGCGGCTTCCCCCCCGACTGCTGCAGGGGCACCTTAGGGGACGGCGGTGGCAACAACTGCGGAGACACTGGCGCGGCCATGGCGTTGTTCCCCCGCGCTTCTTCCCCCCCACTTGCTACTGCCGCACCCTCACCACTGCTCTTCGCCCCTTCCGTCCCCCCTGTTCCCGTGTCTCCACCGCCCGCCTGCGGAGTCGTCTCGAGCGCAGCCTCGCCGTCGCCATGCCGGCCGCCATCATTGCCGGCGCCGCCATCATGATCCGGCGAGGCGGCAGCAGTGGCGGCGGCGGGTGCTTCTGTGGGACGGCCTGCCGGTAGCGTGGAGCCTGACGGCCTGCTGGCACCGTCGCCGGTTTCCGGCGGTTTGACATCGGCCGCGCCAGCAGCAGCGGCGGCGGCGGCGGTGGGTGCGGCGGAACCCTCGACGGAATACTGAAGCCACGACTCCATCTCATCCTCATCGTCGCGGAAAAGCGCGGCGGCAGCGCCGTCGGCGGCGGCGCCGGCGGGGTCCAACGCGGCCAGCAGATCGTTCTGGCTGGCGGCGGCCGGGTCGTCGAGCTCGCCGTCGCGGAGCGCGCACGCGGAAGGCAGCGCGCGCGGGGCGCTGGGCGCGACGGGGTCGGACGCGGAGACCGGCAGAGGCTTGGCGGACGCCGGAGCGCCGGGGTCGGCGGCCGCATGGAGCCACGCGTTGTCGATAATGTCGTGGTCGGGACTGAGAGGGGGGGCGGCCGCGGGGAGGGAAGGGCGCAAGGGGGACGGAGAAAGGGGGTACGACCAGGTAAGGAACGAGCACGTGCGCGGCGAGCGAGTGGGAAAGGGAGTAGAGAGAGGGAGGAGAGAGGGGAAGGTGGCGAGAAACCGACGGCAAGGAGGGGGAAAGGGTAGACGGGATGGGTGTAGAGACAGTGGGTGGGCGGCGCGGGCCTTACACGAAGGCGAGGTCGTCGAAGGGGTTGGACGATCGGCGGGGCGCGCGCTGCATCACCACCCACTTGGCCTTGAGCGACGGGAAGTCGTCGGTGAACGACGCCAAGTCAGCATCTCGCGACGCCATCTCAGACGGGCAGATTCGATAGGTCGTACGTTCGCTACGGGAAGTAGTAGCTACTGGCGATGTTTATGAAACCTACACGGCTTGAATGCGGACGTGAAGCGCTTGCATGTGAGCGTCTAGGGCGGAAACTGCAGGAACGGCAAACGCTGTTGATGGACGACTAGCAGGGCAGCAAGACTAGCACACTGGAAGAATGATCTGCTGACTAACGGAAGATCCAATGTGAGGAGGAACAAACAGGGAGATCAGGATTCAGAGCGAGAACATTTCGCCTAGCAACTTGGCAAGCATCGGAAACACAGCCCACAGTGTGCTGTGCATCCAGCACACTGGCAGCGATAGCCACTGCTGGTGTTTGGCTCATTCCTGCGAGGGAGCAGCAATTGACTCGGGGGGGTCTGTGCATCGAGGTGGGGTGGGGGTGAGGAGAGCACTGAGCAACTGGCTGGATGCGAGGAACAAATGCAATGCAATGGAATAATGTGGTTGTGAGTGGCAGTTGCATAATGATGACGGATTTCCGTCGCGTCGCACTCCCGCTCTTGCTTGCTGCTTCTCTATCCAGCGCAACAGCTTTCGATAGGTAAAACATCGGCTCGGCGGATCGCAGCCGCAAAATCAGTTCGTTCCACTGTGGAATCAAAGGTGTCCGCACAAACACACGGATGCATGGCTGGCTGCAGCATGCGGATCGTAGGAGGAAGGGAATATCGGTGGCTCTGGTCAGTCGGTATCAAATACGTGGCCACAGCTCCTCCAAGCTGCCCGTAACGGACAGCCTAAAAAATGAAATAAGAACCCGAGCAAAAGTATCTTTTCCCCACACCACAACCAACATCGCGTATCCTACCAAACCGCACCCTGATTGACTCAAAATGTAATAGATAGAACAATGCATTTTACGGATGAAGACATAGGCAAACTATTACAGCTTATGCCATATAAATATTGAAACAAATCCTTACCCTGAATGTCTTCATGAGCCCTCATATTAGTCCAAAAGGGATGAAGTGTTTTTTTAATTAACAAGGGATGGTCAAAACACTGAAAAAGTGGGGTTCATGGACCCTATAATTAAATTATTAGTGAAAATTCAGTCGTTTTACAGAATATTATCCTTCAATAAGATTTTGCCCATTTCTCACCTATGATAGGAAAAGTTTCACTAGAATAAATTAGCGGAAAACTCATATAGTAATGTGCCTTGGTAGCTTTCCTTCCTTTGTGGTGTATCTCATTGTTAGCTTTCAGCAGTATGTCGCAAAGTTCAACTTCATCCTGCGCAATCGCCACCACGGTGGTGTTGTTCTTGGAGCGGATGAACTGACCCAAGTAGAGGATGACGTGGAATAGTTCATGCGCCCTGACGTGGCGGTCTGAGAGGCCTTGAGCTGATTGCGAGAGGGGTTGGGAGAAGGGCGAGAAGAACCCGAGTTGTGCTCAGAGTTTGGTTACTTGCCATGAGCAACGAGGGAAAGTTCTTCGCCACAGCAAAGCGAGTTACCACTCGCGCACACAATTCTCTAGGCACTGATTTTCCCAACCCAATCACTCTCACTCCCCAGCCCACCCCACTACGCACACATCCCTCTCCTCACCCATGACTGATTAAATTCTTACCTAGGCCCGCGCAGGCTTTACCCTAGCCCATGGAGGCTCTAACTTCGTCTCTCCTCTCCACGCCGCCTCCTACGCATCGGAATAAGGCATCTAACGCTAAGCTCAATCGCTCTCCCGCATTGCCAGGGTCCCTTCCCCACGGACCCCGTCCCGCATTTCCACCGTCCCTCAGATCGCCTTCGCCAATAGCCGGCGGTCCCAAGTGCTGGTCGCGAGTACCCGCGCTTCCGCAAGGCTCCGCCGATGACGCGCGCGCGGCAGAGCGGAGTTACGATGAGGTGGAAGAGGCGATTCGCCGGATTTCCGACGAGCAGGATCAGCTGAGGGCCCGCGTGGTAGAAGCGTCGGAAGCGGCGTGCAATGCGGACGTCGATGTAGTCCGGCCGGTGCTGGGATATGCGTCTTCGCAACCGCCGCAGGCGGAGGCGCCGTCCGCGATGGACGTGCGATCAGCGGTGAGTGCGGCGGCGGGGGTTTGTCACAAGTGAGTGCATTTCGCTTCTCCACCCCATTCCCTAATTGATCCCCGTCTCCTCCACCATTCGTCCCGACCAGCATCGGCCCCGCATGAAACCAGTGGCGAGAATTGTAACGTGAGGTCATTCGGCCTTGCCGTTATTATTGACGAATAACGAGGGACGTGTTAGAATGCGTCTGTCTCATTGCCCGCACTTGCGCTGCTCCCATGGCAGGACGCGAGCTGGAGCTCCTTCCCACGACCAGAACCCAATTCTACCTCGTCCGCATCCCGGCGGGGTCGAGGCCGGGTGCGCGCACCTCCTTCCGCCAGTCAGGTCCCCCGCCTCCTCGGCGCGCCCACTGCGCCGTCCGCGGCAGCGAGACCGGGTCCCGCGCCAGCTCAAGGCGCGGCGCCGTCTCTTTCCGCAACGCTGCTGTCGCTGTCGCGGCTGTCGCGCGCGGAGACGAGCGGCACGAAGCGCATGGTAGCCATGGTTGCCGCGTGGGACGCCATCGCCTCGCGCCTCCCGCCCTCGCGCTCCCCGCCCTCCGCCGACGGCGGAGCGGGAGCAGCAGGAAGCGCAGCGGGAGGAGGCGGCGTGCAGACGGTCCTGGCGGCGCTGCGGCTCGCGCTGATGGCGCAGCAGCAGCAGGAAGAGCGGGGAAGGGGCTTGGGCGGGCAGGTGTGGCGGCGCGAGTCGGTACGGGTGGCGAATGAGCAGAGCGGGTCAGGGGGGGACGGCAGAGACGCGTTCACACGAGGCGTGGCTGTTGCTGCCATACTCGCTGACCTGCGAGTGAGTGCTCGCCCCCTCCCTCTCTCTCGCTTCCTCTCTCCCTCTCTTCTCACTGTCTTCCCCCAATGCTCTCCCGTTTCGCTGCCCGCCACAAGCGTCCCGTATTGATCTCTCAGTGCCCCACGTCGCCTCGCGCACGCACTCGCGTTCGCCTGCCACTTGGCCTCCCCTTCAAAAGAGCCTGATGTCTCTCCTCTCTGCTGCTCGCATCCGCACTCCCCTCGCTTCTCCCCATTCCCTTCCCCGTTCCCGCTCTTCCCATTCTTCCCGCCACTCTTCCCCCACCCTCTCTCCTCCCCCTCCCCCATGCCCTCCCCCCACTTCTCTCCCCCTTTTCCCTTCCCCATCGCCTTTCCCCTACCAGATGGAGCCGGATGTGATAGCAGCGGGGTTGCTGTCGGACGCAGTGCAGCGCGGCCACATCACCCTGCCGCTCGTGCACGCGCACGTGTCCCCCGCCGTCGCGCGCGTGCTGCACGACTGCGCGCGCCTGCATCGCCTGCCCAAGCGCGTGCGCGCGCTGGACGACGACACCGCCGCCGCCGCGCGCCAGTTCGCGCTCGCCTTCCACGATCCGCGCGCCGTCGTGCTGCAGATCGCCGCGAAGCTCGACGCCATGCAGCACCTCTCCGCGCCGCTTGCGCCGCCCTCCCCGCCCCTCTCCCCCTCCGCCTCGACCTCCCCCGCGCCGTCCCCCGCTCCCCCCCCCAAGGCGACCCCTCGTCAGCAGACGGAGGCTCTAGAGGCGATCCAGGTGTGGGCCCCACTCGCGCACACGCTCGGCATCGGCGCTCTGACGTGGCAGATGGAGGACGCGGCGCTCCGGCACCTGTTCCCGCGGTCCTACGTGTCCATCCAGGCGTGGGTGGCGGCGCAGTGGCCGGGCGGCGGGGAGAGGCTGGTGGGGGAGGTGCGGAGGCGGGTGGAGGAGGTATTGGCGGGGGACGCGCAGCTGCGGGGCGCGGTGGGCGGGTGGGCGGTGAGCGGGCGCGTGAAGAGCATGTGGAGCGTCATGAAGAAGGTGCTCCGCGACGGCCGGCCCCGCACGCGCGTCAACGACCTCTTCGGCCTCCGCATCGTGATCTCCCCCCGCGCGCGCGCTGGTGGCGCGGAAGGGGAGAGTGCGAGTGCGAACGGGGAGGCGGGCGGGGCGAAGGGAACTGCGGGGGAGGGGAACCAGGAGGGGAGTACGTTGGGGGAAGGGGGGAAAGGGGAGGAGGGGGAGGAGGAAGGGGAGAGGGCGGCGGCGGAGGCGTGTTACAGGGTGCGGGAGCTGCTGCTGCGCGAGTGGCGGGAGGACGCGGGGCGCATGAAGGACTACATTGCGCGCCCCAAGGGCAACGGCTACCAGAGCCTGCACATGGCGCTCAAACTGCCCTTCAGTGGCGCGCTCGCGGAGGCGGGGGCGGAAGGGGAGGCGCGCGGAGAGGGGGATGGGGAACGGGGAGGCGAGGGGGAGGAGCGGGTGGTGGAGGTGCAGATCCGCACAGCGCGCATGGAGGAGGAGGCGGTGAGGGGCGGGGCGGCGCACGGGCTGTACAAGGGCGGGAGCAGAGTGAGCCAGGACCAGGTACGCCCTGCCCTGCCCTGTCATGCAGAGCAGAGACTGCCTTTGCGCCTCCTCCTGCTCTTCCCCTGGATTCCCGCCTCCCTTCCCCTTCCCACCCCAACCACCCCTGGTCGGTCTCTTCATGCCCCCTTAGCCAGCTCCCAACCCCCATCTTTTGGACTGCGATGCCCTTTTAAAGTGTCTGCCAATGTTCCCCTTCTCTCAGCCTTCACCCAGCCAAACTTCTAGTTCCTCTTGTCGTCCCTTGGTCTCATTTTTTCCTCCCAACCTCCGCTTCCCTCCTTTCCCCTTTTCCCCCTTCCTTCCCCGGTTTCTTCTCCCCTCTCCCCCTCCTCCCCTGCGCGGGCGCAGATGCAGCAGTTGAAGGGGGTGATGGAGCTGCTGGCGGCAGCAGCGGCGGGCAGCAGGGCGGACCTCGGCCTGGGCCCGCGCTTCCCCATGGCGCAGCTCGCGCAGGGCGCCGCCCTTGACGCTGACGTGGCCGCTGACGTGTCTGACGCCGTTGCTGCGGCGGCGGGGGCAGGCAGAGAGGGGCTGGGCTGGAGCAGGGGAGGCGAGAGGGAGGAGGATGGGAGATCGGAGTGGGATGCAGGGCAGTTGAGAGAGCTGCAGGGGAGGCAGGGCGACGGGGAACGAGAGCAGGGGAGTATAGAGCAGGAGAGTACTGGAAAGGCGAATCAGGGCACGGCGATTAAGCAGGGGGGTGGGAAGGGTCAGGAGGAAGATGAGAAAAAGGAAGAGGAAGAGAACAAGGAGAACGAGGAGGAGGAGGGGGAGGAGGAGGACCATGACCATTTCTTTGCAATGCTGGATCTGAACGGCGATGGGGTGATCAGTGTGGAGGAGATGAGCCAGTTCATGCAGCAGCTGGGCGCAGGGGAGGACATCAGTCAGCTCACAGGCATGGCAGGCCTGGAAGGAGGGGACGGTGGGGGCGGGGCGGGCGGGCGGCAGGCGGCGGAGGAGCTAGTGGCGCTGCTGGACGCGAACATGGATGGCAGCATCTGCGCTAAGGAGTTTGCTGCGTTCCGACGCCAGGTGTGTGTGTGTGTGTGCGATGGGGCTGGCTCATGTTGGCTCATATGTGCTCTGCGCTGTGTGCGTCCACCGGTGTGTGTGTGAAAGAGAGAGAGAGAGAGAGAGAGAGAGAGAGAGAGAGAGAGAGAGAGAGAGAGAGAGAGAGAGAGAGAGGGAGAGGGAGAGGGAGAGGGAGAGGGAGAGGGAGAGGGAGAGGGAGAGGGAGAGGGAGAGGGAGAGGGAGAGGGAGAGGAGAGGAGAGGGAGAGGGAGAGGGAGAGGGAGAGGGAGAGGGAGAGGGAGAGGGAGAGGGAGAGGGAGAGGGAGAGGGAGAGGGAGAGGGAGAGGGAGAGGGAGAGGGAGAGGGAGAGGGAGAGGGAGAGGGAGAGGGAGAGGGAGAGGGAGAGGGAGAGGGAGAGGGAGAGGGAGAGGGAGAGGGAGAGGGAGAGGGAGAGGGAGAGGAGAGGGAGAGGGAGAGGGAGAGGGAGAGGGAGAGGGAGAGGGAGAGGGAGAGGGAGAGGGAGAGGGAGAGGGAGAGGGAGAGGGAGAGGGAGAGGGAGAGGGAGAGGGAGAGGGAGAGGGAGAGGGAGAGGGAGAGGGAGAGGGAGAGGGAGAGGGAGAGGGAGAGGGAGAGGGAGAGGGAGAGGGAGAGGGAGAGGGAGAGGGAGAGGGAGAGGGAGAGGGAGAGGGAGAGGGAGAGGGAGAGGGAGAGGGAGAGGGAGAGGGAGAGGGAGAGGGAGAGAGAGAGAGAGACTGCAAAGTCCAACAGGGCTGCAGAGCGGGCGTTCCCCCAGGCCCCAGTCGACCCGTGGGAGCCCCGCCTCGGGGACATCTGGCAGGTCCTGGAGGACGAACTGGACTGGGGGCCGGTCCTGGATGGGTGAGGGGCCGGGGTAAGGGGGCTGGAGTGGGGAGGTTGGAGGGTGAGGTGACCCTAGGCCGCGGTCCTAGGGGAGTAGGCACTAGGTAGGCCTCACGGCTTCTCTGGCCGACAGGCAAGCTAGTCACAAGTTGTTGTTCTGTTGCTTGCTTGCTGTTTGGATACCTAGACTGCATGTTAGAGTTGTTGGTGCTTCTTACATGCCTTGCCTGTACCCTGCATATTATCAATGAAGGACCGCTTGAGAGAGAGAGACTTAGTGCGTATGTAGTGTGTGTTTCTGTGTGATCACGGGTGTGTGCATGTCCCATATGCGTGAGTGTGGAATGTGTATGTGGTGCATTCCTGTGTGTGGCTCCTCCTGTCACTGGACAGCAGTGCATTCCACACATGCGCCACTCAGAATGGCTCCTCTGCCCGCACTCCCGCACTCCCGCCCTCACTCCTGCTCGCACTCCCGGCCTCACTCCCGCTCTCACTCCCGCCCTCATTCCCGCCTACACTCCCGCCCTCACTCTCTTACTCCCGCCCTCACTCCCTCTCTTACTCCTCTTTGTCCCACCGTTGCCCTTCTCAGGTGCGTGCACTCCACAGCCTACGGCAGTCCCAGCAGCACGCGTCGCAGGCGCTCCTATCCAAACCATTCGCCCCCGCCAGCACCACTGCGGCGCTCGACAGCAGCAGCAGCAGCAGCAGCAGCAGCAGCAGCAGCAGCGGCAACAGCAGCGCTGGCAGTTCACAGTCACACCTCAGGAGCTCCAGCCAGTTCCAGAGCAACGGTGCCGCTGCTGCTGTGGCTGCGGTTGCTACTGTTAATAACACTGAGGCTCCTGAGGATGTGGGTGGGATGGGCGGAGTTGGGGGTGCGGGGGACGGGCGTGGCAGGGACGGGTGGGATAGCCGTGCGATGGGAGTGACAGGGGAGCGGTTTGATGGGGGAGGGGGCGGAGGGCGGGATGAGGGCGGTGATGAGGAGGTAGGGGAGGTTGAAGGTAGGAGCGAAGGCGGTGGCGGTAGTGCGGTTGATGCTGCTAGCAAGGCTGGTGCAAAGGGCAGTATTTCAGATTCTCCTGATTCCCCCAACTCCCCCGCAACTCCCCCCTGTTCATGGGATGACAGTGTGGACTCGGATTGGGAGGTCGTGGTTCCCTCCCGCAGCCCCTCCCCCTCTCCCCCCGCCTCCCCCACCACCCAGTACTTTGACTCCTTCCAAGCACCCTGGCCCGAGGGGAACGCGGAGGGCGGGGGGGAGGAGGCGCGGGGAGAGGGGGAAGAGGGGGAAGAGGCGCTTGGGGGGGACAGGAGAGGCGCGGGCAAGCAGGGGAATTTGGTGAGGCTGAGCCTTGTGCGCCCTGATGGGGCTGGTCGAGGGGGGGCAGCAGGGGGGCAGCAGCAGAGGGGCGCGGAGAGGGGAGGGGACGGCAGCAGGGGAAGGCAGGGCGGGGTTGGGCAGGCGAGGGGTAGGGCGAGGTTGCAAGGGAGGCAGGTGCGGGTGCAAGGGGGAGTGATGAAGAGCACGTGGGGGGAGGGAGGGGGGGTGGGGAAGGTTGGGCGGGTGCGGATGGTGCAAGTGACCCGGTGGGGGCAGAAGGATGCAGGGGAGTGGTTGCGGTGGGGGACTGGGAAACAGGCGGGCGAGTGGGCGGGGGAGGGGGAGAGGGAGGGGGAGGGAGAGGGGGAGGGAGAGGGAGAAGGGCGAGGAGCAGGAGGGTGGGAGGGGGAGGAGGAGGTGGCAGCGGTGGAGGGGGTGTTGAAGGTGGTGAGGCGGCACATGACGAGCAGGTCCGAGGCAGGACTCACAGCAGCCCGGCACATGATGGATGAGGTGCGCAAACATGGGTGGGCAGGGGCAGGCATGGTTGGGCGGGCAGGGCAGGGGCAGGCATGGTTGGGCGGGCAGGGCAGGGGCAGGTATGGGCGCACATGGGGGGTTATTTGTGTGCATCAACCGCACTCTATATCCGCCTTTTCAGACCCCAGCATCACACTTGCTGCGCCTATGAAGCTGCACTACTGCTTCTCTCGTCTCTCCTCCGTCGTCCCTCTCCTCCCACTCCTCCCTTTCCTCTTCCGCTCTTTGTGTCATTGCTGTCACGCTGTCTGTCCTGATTCACAGCGTGTGTCTAAAGAAAGTACCCTGACTCGGCACATGTTTCAGCTGCTGCTACCACTGCCACCACCAACGCCTTGACGCATCTTCCCTGCCAGCTCCGCTCTGCTTCCACTCACACCCCTCCCTTTCCCCCCGCTTGCGCCATGTGCCCCCCCTGTCGTTCCCCCTGACGGCAGCTGCTGGCACGCCATCCCAGCAACGCCAACGTTCTCGTGCACATGGCTCAGCTGGAGAGACATTCAGGTGCGCTGCTTGCACTCTGTGTATTGTCCCGTATGCCATGGATACCCTGGCTTGTGTGGTGTACCATACACGTGGTGTGTATGCATACATGTGGTATGCTAGTAACTCTTCTGAGGTTCTCAGCCAACCAGGCCACTTACGAACAAGCTCATGCTCATGCTCTTGCTCTTGCTCCACCCTGTCCCTTTTCCTACAATCCACCCTTCTCTCCCTCTCCACACTTCGCTTCCCTCACCACCCACCGCCATCTCTCCATGCGCACTCCTCCTGCCCACTCCTCCTCCGACCAGGCAACACGGGGGCGGCGAGGCAGTGGTACGAGCGCAGTGCGCACTGCTTTGAGGCGCGGGGCCACCTGGGGCGGCAGTACGTGCGTGCGCTGCAGGCGTGGGGCATGCTGGAGGCCCTCGATGGCTGCATTGCTGCCAGCCGCCGCCTCTTTGAGCACTCGCTGCAAGTCGCATGGAAGGTACTGTGCTGTACTGTGCTGTGCTGTGCTGTGCTGTGCTGTGCTGTGCTGTGCTGTGCTGTGCTGTGCTGTGCTGTGCTGTGCTGTGCTGTGCTGTGCTGTGCTGTGCTGTGTGGAAGGTACTGTGCCATGGTCGCTGGAGGTCCATGTGTGTTGCTCGCTGCATGTGGTGTGGGAGGTGGATGCTGCTGCTTCATGCTGGTGAACACACTAGTGAGTGCCAGGATCGCTTCTCACTTCACTCTCCCACACCACTCCTCCCCCTCCTCCCTCTCCTCCCACTCCTCCCACTCCTCCCCCTCCTCCCACTCTTCCCACTCCTCCCCCTCCCCTCCCTGCTCCCTCTCGCACCCACTCCCCCTCACCTTTCGCAGGCGGAGAGGCGGTCAGGGCAGCAGCAGGTGGGGGCGGTGGTGGTGGGGCTGCACGCATGGGCCATGGTGGAGCGGCGAGTGGGCAACTTCACAGCAGCGCGCCACCTGCTGCAGCGCGCCGAGCGCGTGGAGCCAGGCAACGCCGTGGTGCTGCAGGCACGTGCACTGCTGGAGGCGGCTGTGGGGCACCTGTCGGCTGCACGGCACTTCTTCAAACGCGCTGCTGCTGCTGACCCTGCCGATGCTGCCTGCTGGCAGGTGCGCACCCTCTGCTTTCACTGCCTCTGTCTCTCTCGCCCTGCGCTCCGTAGCACCTGGGTATCTTGCTTCCTCCATTGCTCTCCTGCCCTTCACTTCCGGTTTCTATCTTGCTCACGACCTCCCTCTGACTTTTTATTCCTAGTTTCTCCAAGGCTCCCCCTGTGCTCCCTCGTTAGTGCTGACCTGTATCCATCTCCCGCTGCCCTGCTCTTTACACGTGCGATGGGTGGGCTGTGGCAGGCGTGGGCAGTGACGGAGGCGCGGGCAGGGCGTGTGGACCGCATGAGAGACCTCTTCACTGCTGCTCTCTCCGTGCACCCCTCCTCACTGCCCACCTTGCATGTGCGTTCGCACCCGCATGCCTTGCAAATAGCAGGCAAAGGAGTAGTATTGCATTTCATGCCATGCCCATGCAATTTGTGGGCCATGTGATGCTGCTATGCTTCTGTTTGTAAAATTTCCACCTCCCTGAAGCCCTCACGCCATCGTCCTTGCCTTCCCCCTCTCTACTCGCTCCTCTTCTTCCTCCCCGCCATGGCATGTCTCAACGCCAGGCATGGGCGTGTGAGGAGGCTCGGTTGGGGTCGGCCCAGCCCCAGTCGTTGCAGCGAGCGCAGGACCTCTTCACACGCTGCCTCAACGTGGACCCGGAATGCGCATACGCACTGCAGGTCACACCCCAGTCCCCTGCCCTGCTACCCCTCTCTCACACGCCCTCCCTAGCTCTGTCGAATGTGGATGAATGTGAATGCTTGTGAATGGGATGTGCATGCCGTTCTTTCCTCATAGCTCTCTCATGCATGTTCTCGCAGTCTGTTTGTCCACCACCTTTGTTCCGCTGCCACCTCATGCCATCCATACTCCCTCATCTCACATCAGCTTCCGTGCTCCGCCGCGCCTCGCTCACTCTCCATCTTCCACATCCTGCTTCCCTCTCACCCCCCGTTTCCCCCTCTCTCTTCCCCTCCCGCCTTTCCGTTGCTGACTCGCCTCTCCCCGTCGTTCCGTTGCCGACCCGACCCTTGCTCGGTGCAGTCATGGGCGGTGATGGAGCAGAGGGCGGGCAACGTGCCCCAGGCGCGCACGCTCTTTGACCGCTGCCTGCAGATAGCCCCCTCCTCCGTGCCCGCCCTCCAGGTGCGTCTCTGCTGTGCTCCTCTCGCACCCACCCCACACCGCCCCCTCTGCCTCATGCATGCTCTGCATTTCCACTTCCTGCCTCATGCATGCTCTGCATTTCCACTTCCTGCCTCATGCATGCTCTGCATTTCCACTTCCTGCCTCATAAATGCGCCTCTGCTGTCGGTGTCTAACTCCGCTCCTACTCTTCACCACATCACCCTGGTTCTGTCAGTCACTCGGTATGCCCCTCTTGGTCACAGCATCCCCCACTCTGCCCTCTCTGCCCACTCTGCCCACTCTGCCCACTCTGCCCACTCTGCCCACTCTGCCCACTCTGCTCTCCCTCCTCTCGCTCCTCGCCCCCATTTCTCCCCCTGTGTGCGCAATCATCCCTCCCAGGCATATGCAGTGATGGAGCGGAAGCAGGGCAATGCTTTCAAGGCCCGTGCACTGCTGGCCCTCGCCCTCTCATTGCAGCCCAACAATGCTGCTGTGCTGCAGGTATGCTGTGCTCACCCCATGCATGTTGATAAGGGAACAGCATTGTAAGGTACTCAGCAGCTCCTCTTATGCATGCTCTGCCCTGAGCTGAGTGTCGTCATTCAGAGTGTCACTGTAAGCTGCGCCCCCACTCTGTTCTGCCTATTCCCCTGCATGTAAGGTACTCACCCTCTGTCGCCTGCACGGTTGCCCCCTAGCTACTCAGCATTGTCCCTGTCCTCTCCCTTCCCCCCTTCCAATTCGTCCCCCTCATCCGTGGCATGATGTGCACGCAGGTGGCAGCGGAGTTGGAGCAGCAGCTGGGCAACGAGGCGGCAGCGCAGGCGCTGTACGTGCGCACCAACCGTGCGGACCGCAGCGCAGCCAGGAGGCGGCGCCGCATGTTTGAGTCGTACCGGGACATGCGGCGGGAGGTGCAGGGCGCTGAGGAGGCACGGGAGTGGATGCTCAAGCGACAGGCCAAGCGCCTGAGGCGCAAGCTGCGGCAGAAGCAGCAGCGCAAGCAGCAGGAGCAGGGGCAGCAGGGGCAGCAGCAGCAGCAGCGGAGTGAGCAGCATGCAGTGGTGCTGGAGCAGGCAGGGGATGGAGGTGACGCAGGAAAGCAGTCATGATGAACACGGGACGGGAGTGTCGGGAAGTGCGGCGAAGCTGCTTACAGAATGGGACGAATGGAAGGTATCGAAGGCTGTTGCTGGGAGGGGTTAGGTAGGTGCGTGACAGCAGGTTCAGATGAGAAAACAAAGCATGGCTATAGATGAGATACGGTAACGCTCTGTAGCTCTATGCTGTAGATCGAGTATGCCCTTGAGAGATACTGTAGTGTAGGCTGCCTTCTCTGAACGGTCTATTTATGCATTCTGGATGTGTGTCGACCTTGGGAGAGATTGAAAGAGGATTGCTTGCGAGCTATTACTGTATCTAGTAAAGGACCATGCTGCTTTGCAGTGCACATCTCTGGCAGTGAAAAATATCGACACTGGAATGGACTGGTGTCACTCCAACCATAGCCATCTTGCCCAGGCTGCCTGCCAGCCTTGCAAAGCCACAAATGTAATGCTTGAAACAGGCTCCAGCCCTCCCGGGTCAACACGAACGAGCCCCAATACCAAGGATGGTAGTGTCAATACGGTAGAATCACAAGCGGTTACCTACTTGAATAACATGGATGCTTGATGCTTGATGCTTGATGTCTCGTCAAACAGTAGGGTAAATCGAATCCTGGGTAACACCTGTGGTAATGATTGACATGGCATGTACTCAACCCATGTTTGCTAAGGTACAGCATAGTACCGTACGGTATGTCTAATACCAATAATAGGCTGTACTTGGAGAGCATGTTAGTTGAACATGCACAAACCAATACACTATCCTAGCCATCCGCATGCATGCGCAGATTACATCTGTATGATCAGGAATACACAATACACGTTTCGCAGGATGCTTGTTTACGTAGTTGCAGTATCAGAAGGTCCAGATGTGCTTGTATCGCACTGTGAGCCCTGCAGTTAAGCACCAGAAGATGCAGCCAAGGACGGCAGCTGCAGCAGTGGCAAGAGTCTGATTGCCCAATGCACCAACCAGGAATGCATATGGCAGAGAGAGCTGCCATGGGGTTGGGGTTGGTGGGAGGTCATGAAGGAGGAGCACAGGCAAGAACAGGTATATACGTGATGGGAGTAGGGATGGAGTAGGAGTGTTGATGCAAACGGCTCACTGCTGCGTGCGCCCAGCCAGTAAGTCCTGGGACTGGACCCACAGCCCTCAGATGCAGGACAAGAAAACTGGCAGGGATGCTGTGGAATCTGAATCAACCAGCACCTAACAATTATGATTGGCAAGTGGCAGGTGGTAGGGGGCAGGTGGCAAGGGGCGGGTGGCCCAGCAGAAAACACGAAGCACACATCACACCAGCACCGTTCCCAGTCCCCACAAACCATGTCCCTCTCTTCCAATTCCCCCCCTTGTAGAATCCTCCAGAGCCCAGGCACACACCAGGTTGCTGGCGGGGTCATTGTTGACATAGAAGCCTGCTAGCAGCAGGTCCAGCAGGCGACAGACGCCCAGCAGAAAACACAAAGCACACAACCCACCAGCGCCATTCCCATTCCCCTTATCCCATGTGCCTCATTCCAATTCCCCCCAAGAGCCTAGGCACGCACGAGGTTACTGGCGGGGTCATTGTTGACGTAGAAGCCTGCTAGCAGCAGGTCCAGCAGGCGACAGACGCCCAGCACGAGCACAAAGAGAGGGTTGCGCCCCAGCCATGCTATGGGCGCGAGGAACGGGCGCGCAGACGTGTACACGTCAGTCTGTGGTGCGGGGATAGCAGGGGTTTGAGGAGTGAAATGATGCGGACAATTCATGGGTGGTATGTGGAGTGATGTGCTTGCTCGGGAAGAGAGAGATGGGAGGGGGGTGACAGATGCTGAGAGGCATGTCAGAGACGTGGAAAACATGGGACAGGTTCCGAAGATGGGGAGAGATGTGAGAAGGCAATCCACAGTGCGTGGAGTGAGATTAGAAGAGATCATACGAGGACGAAGAAGCACGTACGAGTATGAAGAAGCAGGAGAAGAGGAAGCAGGAAACTGCAGCAGCAACGGCTGCAAAGCTGATGGTGAAGAGCTGCGGATTGAACGGCATGCCTGCATAAAAAGGGGGTGTGGCGACGAGTTGAGGTGGCGGGAGGTGAGGTGAGGTGGGAGGAGGAAAGGGGAGGTAAGGCGAGGTGAGGTGAGACAGGTGAATTAGTCGGGAAAGACGCGAGCGGTGACAGGGATAAGAACTTCATGCGAAAGAGAGAAAAGTGGGTGAGAAGCGGCAGTGGCAGGAGGTGGAGAAAGAGAGAAATATCGAGAGAACGACATGGGAGGACAGGGACGTACCTGAGAGTATGGATTCCGGCAGGAACGAGGGCAGGGAGGAGTGGAGCAGGGGCATTGGCATGCTCAGCGTCACTCCTGTGGCGAGCAGCACGGTTGCGAAGAGCAGCGAGCGGAAGATACGCCAGGAGTGAGTCTGAGTGGCAGAGAGGCGGGAGGTGGAGGGAGGTATAGGAAATGAAGGAGACAGGAAGGAGAACGAAGTTGGGACGCAAGGGGGAGGAAGGACAGAGAATGGAAAGCAGGGGGAGGAGGAAGGGAGTGCAACAGATATTCACCCTCAGTGGGAAATGCGGTGGACAATGCAATAAATGTGTGCAAGGATCGTGGTGTGTGCGTGGAGTGCAGTGTGCATGCATGGGGGGCGGTGGGGGAAGGGAGGTGCGCATGAGAGGCGGTGTGCACGGGGGGAAGAGGAGCGCTGACATTGAAGTAGGTGAGGAGGTGGCCGTGGTGCAGGCCTGCAAAGGCCACCAGACACGCCCCCACCGTGCTGCACACACGGGGCAGGGGAGAGACGGGTGAGATGCGCAAGGCACATGCACCTGGACTCATGAGCCTCGGCAGATATACTAGGACAGATGTACCTGGACAGATGTACCTGGACAGATGTACCTGGACAGATGTACCTGGACAGATGTACCTGAGGATTCCTTGGGGGTCGAAGGGTGCTTGGCACCACGCAGGGGGGAGGGGCGACGTGCTTTGGCACATCTGTGATGGCACGGAGAGAGGGAGGAAGGAAGGGGAGTGGAGAGACGGGAACGGAGCAAGGGAGAGGAGAAAGGGAGGAAAGGGGAATGGGGAACGGGAGACAGGTGAGATAAACTCATGGGCGAGTGAGGCATGGTGTGTTTATCGATTTCATTAATTCATGAAAGGACTTGTGAGAGGAGGGAAATGGGAGGAGTGGGAGGATCGGAGGAGTGGGAGGAACAGGAGTGGGAGGAGTGGGAGGGGTGAGAGGCACTGACAGGGAGCGAGTGGAAAGGCGCCGTGGAGAGCATGTGGGAGGGGCCCATGAGCACTCGGTCAATGTACCCTGCTGCATTGCAGCCCGGAGCAAAACTTCCCCTCACACCGCACTGCACATGGTGATGGGGTGGTTCGGGGGGAGAAGGGGAGCGGAAGGGAGAAGAGCGGGAAGAGTGGGAAAGCGAGAAAGTGGGGGGGGGAACAAGCAGAGCGAGACGAGAATAGACGTCTAACGAAGGGCATGAAGAGCATACGTGCAGAAAGCAAGGGTTACAGGCACCATCCCAGCAACAGGTTCCATGGCAACTTTGAGAATTCATCCACTGTGAATGCCGCCACTCACATGCACAGCCAAGCTACCACCATCATCCTCCGTGCCACCCTGCAACGCTCTCCGCTGCCCCTCTGCGCTCTCCCACAGACCATCCTGATGCAGCGCAGAGAGATGCGACAAGGGGTTCGTGGTTGCGATGGCGGTGGTGACAGTGGGGGTAATGGTGGTGGTGTTGCTGTGGATACTGGTGGTGGTGGAAAGGGTGTAGGAGGGCACAAAGAGGAGGAAGGAGAGGGACGCGTATAGCAGCACCAGCAGCAGCGCCACACACCTGAGGGGAGGGGAGGGGGATGGGGGCCGTAAGGACGGAAGAAAATGGTTGAGTGAGGGAATGGGGGACGGTGGGTGAAAGGGGAGAGGAGCATGGGGAGAGCAGAAGTGGGTGGGCAGAGCAGGCTCATACGCTGCACCGCCCGCTCATACGCTGCACCGCCCGCTCATACGCTGCACCGCCCGCTCATACGCTGCACCGCACGCTCATACGCTGCACCGCACGCTCATACGCTGCACCGCCCGCTCATACGCTGCACCGCCCGCTCATACGCTGCACCGCCCGCTCATACGCTGCACCGCCCGCTCATACGCTGCACCGCCCGCTCATACGCTGCACCGCCCGCTCATACGCTGCACCGCCCGCTCATACGCTGCACCGCACGCTCATACGCTGCACCGCACGCTCATACGCTGCACCGCACGCTCATACGCTGCACCGCCCGCTCATACGCTGCACCGCCCGCTCATACGCTGCACCGCCCGCTCATACGCTGCACCGCCCGCTCATACGCTGCACCGCCCGCTCATACGCTGCACCGCCCGCTCATACGCTGCACCGACCGCTCATACGCTGCACCGCCCGCTCATACGCTGCACCGCCCGCTCATACGCTGCACCGCCCGCTCATACGCTGCACCGCACGCTCATACGCTGCACCGCACGCTCATACGCTGCACCGCACGCTCATACGCTGCACCGCACGCTCATACGCTGCACCGCCCGCTCATACGCTGCACCGCCCGCTCATACGCTGCACCGCCCGCTCATACGCTGCACCGCACGCTCATACGCTGCACCGCACGCTCATACGCTGCACCGCACGCTCATACGCTGCACCGCACGCTCATACGCTGCACCGCACGCTCATACGCTGCACCGCACGCTCATACGCTGCACCGCCGCTCATACGCTGCACCGCCCGCTCATACGCTGCACCGCCCGCTCATACGCTGCACCGCCCGCTCATACGCTGCACCGACCGCTCATACGCTGCACCGACCGCTCATACGCTGCACCGCCCGCTCATACGCTGCACCGCCCGCTCATACGCTGCACCGCCGCTCATACGCTGCACCGCCGCTCATACGCTGCACCGCCCGCTCATACGCTGCACCGCCCGCTCATACGCTGCACCGCACGCTCATACGCTGCACCGCCCGCTCATACGCTGCACCGACCGCTCATACGCTGCACCGCCCGCTCATACGCTGCACCGCCCGCTCATACGCTGCACCGCCCGCTCATACGCTGCACCGCACGCTCATACGCTGCACCGCCCGCTCATACGCTGCACCGCCCGCTCATACGCTGCACCGCCCGCTCATACGCTGCACCGCCCGCTCATACGCTGCACCGCCCGCTCATACGCTGCACCGCCCGCTCATACGCTGCACCGCCCGCTCATACGCTGCACCGCCCGCTCATACGCTGCACCGCCCGCTCATACGCTGCACCGCCCGCTCATACGCTGCACCGCCCGCTCATACGCTGCACCGCACGCTCATACGCTGCACCGCACGCTCATACGCTGCACCGCCCGCTCATACGCTGCACCGCCCGCTCATACGCTGCACCGCCCGCTCATACGCTGCACCGCCCGCTCATACGCTGCACCGCCCGCTCATACGCTGCACCGCCCGCTCATACGCTGCACCGCCCGCTCATACGCTGCACCGCCCGCTCATACGCTGCACCGCCCGCTCATACGCTGCACCGCCCGCTCATACGCTGCACCGCCCGCTCATACGCTGCACCGCACGCTCATACGCCTGCACCGCACGCTCATACGCTGCACCGCACGCTCATACGCTGCACCGCACGCTCATACGCTGCACCGCCCGCTCATACGCTGCACCGCCCGCTCATACGCTGCACCGCCCGCTCATACGCTGCACCGCCCGCTCATACGCTGCACCGCCCGCTCATACGCTGCACCGCCCGCTCATACGCTGCACCGCCCGCTCATACGCTGCACCGCACGCTCATACGCTGCACCGCACGCTCATACGCTGCACCGCACGCTCATACGCTGCACCGCCCGCTCATACGCTGCACCGCCCGCTCATACGCTGCACCGCCCGCTCATACGCTGCACCGCCCGCTCATACGCTGCACCGCACGCTCATACGCTGCACCGCCCGCTCATACGCTGCACCGCCCGCTCATACGCTGCACCGCCCGCTCATACGCTGCACCGCCCGCTCATACGCTGCACCGCCCGCTCATACGCTGCACCGCCCGCTCATACGCTGCACCGCCCGCTCATACGCTGCACCGCCCGCTCATACGCTGCACCGCCCGCTCATACGCTGCACCGCCCGCTCATACGCTGCACCGCCCGCTCATACGCTGCACCGCCCGCTCATACGCTGCACCGCCCGCTCATACGCTGCACCGCCCGCTCATACGCTGCACTGCACCGCACGCTCATACGCTGCACCGCACGCTCATACGCTGCACCGCACGCTCATACGCTGCACCGCACGCTCATACGCTGCACCGCACGCTCATACGCTGCACCGCACGCTCATACGCTGCACCGCCCGCTCATACGCTGCACCGCCCGCTCATACGCTGCACCGCCCGCTCATACGCTGCACCGCCCCGCTCATACGCTGCACTGCACCGCACGCTCATACGCTGCACCGCACGCTCATACGCTGCACCGCACGCTCATACGCTGCACCGCACGCTCATACGCTGCACCGCACGCTCATACGCTGCACCGCACGCTCATACGCTGCACCGCCCGCTCATACGCTGCACCGCCCGCTCATACGCTGCACCGCCCGCTCATACGCTGCACCGCCCGCTCATACGCTGCACCGCCCGCTCATACGCTGCACCGCCCGCTCATACGCTGCACCGCCCGCTCATACGCTGCACCGCCCGCTCATACGCTGCACCGCACGCTCATACGCTGCACCGCACGCTCATACGCTGCACCGCACGCTCATACGCTGCACCGCCCGCTCATACGCTGCACCGCCCGTTCATACGCTGCACCGCCCGCTCATACGCTGCACCGCACGCTCATACGCTGCACCGCCCGCTCATACGCTGCACCGCCCGCTCATACGCTGCACCGCCCGCTCATACGCTGCACCGCCCGCTCATACGCTGCACCGCTCGCTCATACGCTGCACCGCCCGCTCATACGCTGCACCGCACGCTCATACGCTGCACCGCACGCTCATACGCTGCACCGCCCGCTCATACGCTGCACTGCACCGCACGCTCATACGCTGCACCGCACGCTCATACGCTGCACCGCACGCTCATACGCTGCACCGCACGCTCATACGCTGCACCGCACGCTCATACGCTGCACCGCCCGCTCATACGCTGCACCGCCCGCTCATACGCTGCACCGCCCGCTCATACGCTGCACCGCCCGCTCATACGCTGCACCGCCCGCTCATACGCTGCACCGCCCGCTCATACGCTGCACCGCCCGCTCATACGCTGCACCGCCCGCTCATACGCTGCACCGCCGCTCATACGCTGCACCGCCCGCTCATACGCTGCACCGCCCGCTCATACGCTGCACCGCCCGCTCATACGCTGCACCGCCCGCTCATACGCTGCACCGCCCGCTCATACGCTGCACCGCCCGCTCATACGCTGCACCACCCGCTCATACGCTGCACCGCCCGCTCATACGCTGCACCGCCCGCTCATACGCTGCACCGCCCGCTCATACGCTGCACCGCCCGCTCATACGCTGCACCGCCCGCTCATACGCTGCACCGCCCGCTCATACGCTGCACCGCCCGCTCATACGCTGCACCGCCCGCTCATACGCTGCACCGCCCGCTCATACGCTGCACCGCCCGCTCATACGCTGCACCGCCCGCTCATACGCTGCACCGCCCGCTCATACGCTGCACCGCGCGCTCATACGCTGCACCGCCCGCTCATACGCTGCACCGCCCGCTCATACGCTGCACCGCCCGCTCATACGCTGCACCGCCCGCTCATACGCTGCACCGCCCGCTCATACGCTGCACCGCCCGCTCATACGTTGCACCGCCCGCTCATACGCTGCACCGCCCGCTCATACGCTGCACCGCGCGCTCATACGCTGCACCGCCCGCTCATCATTCCCCGAAGGTGAGCAGGGTGCAATTAAGGCCGCGGCAGTTAAGGGTGGCAAGCAGGGCTGCGGTAGCAGCGAGGGCAGCAAACAGGCGAGGCCAGGGCGTGGGCACACGAACCAGTTGATCAGGAAGCCAAGTGCATGGTGGTGCACGCCTGGTGGTCGCCGCGCCCCTCGATACAGCTTCATCACTGCTACCTCCGACACCCCCACCACCAGCAACGCTGCTGCCACTTGCTGCCACGCACACGGGCGCGCAGGCAGACAGGTGGACCAATGGCACGGTGAGATAGGCTTGAGAAGATGTATGGAAACATGGAACTTTGTTGAGAGTCTTGAGAAGAGGAAATGGGATTGGGGCGTGCACCCATGCACCCATGCACCCTTGCACCCATGCACCCCAGCACCCATGCAACCATACAACCATACAGTCATGCACCCATGCACACACGGCACACCTGCAGCATGCCGCAGAAGCGCGTGTTCTCAAGGGAGACGCCAAAGGACGTGTCGCCGATGGGGTGCAGGAAGCCCCCCTGGAGGAAGTATCCGAGGTAAAAGATCTTGCAGAAGCGGATGTACACCTTGTTGCTCGCTGCCAGCACGCTGGGCACTTGCTGTGATGGCGGGGCGGGAGGAGAGGGGAGGGTAGGAGGGTTAGACGAAAAGGCTTGCTTATGGAGAAGATAAGGCCTCCTTCGGAAGACGCGAAGTTTGGAAGTGTGAGGATACGGCAGCAGCACGCGTGTGGAATGTGAGGACAGACAGAGGGCAAAAGAAGTGCTTTCAATTCAAGCAGGTACAGTGCATGTGCATGGCACGTCGTCATCACCCACGGTGTAAGCGAGGGCGAGGGAGAGGCCAACGGTGTAGAGCAGCAGCGGCAGCGGCAGGTCTGCTAGTGAAAGCCCGTGCCAGGGCGAGGGGGCGAAGGCAGGGAAGGACGGGCTCAGGTACGCACAGAGCAGCAGGCCCTGGGTGGGGAGGTGCGGGACAGGTGGGGAGCATGGGGTTAACGGGGAATGAAGGGAAATGGGTGTGGTTAGGGCACGGGGGAAAGTGAAAAGGCGAAGGGGGAGAAGAGAAAGGCATGAAGTGGCATGGCGAGAACTGAGAATGACCCACGGTTCTGGTGATAGTGAATGTATGATCCCGCAGGATGGCGGGGATTGCGAGGCACAGCAGCGTGTGCAGTGCAGGTGGTGGTACGGTACGGTACCAGGATGGCAAGGCAGGGACAAGGCACAGCGAGCGAGAAGGTGGTACGGTACCAGGATGGCAAGGCCGCGTGTGACATGCAGGGAGAAGAGGTGCAGGTCGGTGTTGTCATCCGTGTGCAGCACCGAGTATGCGCCCATCATCTCGCCCCACCCCACTGCCGCCGCCCACCGCTGCAACTCGTTCTGCTCCTCCTCATCCTGCTGCTGCTGCTGCTGCGCCTGCTGCTCTGCCTGCTGCTCTGCCTGCTGGGCCTCTGATGTGGTGCGAGCTGCTGGGGTGGGGAATAATGACCAGTGCCACGCAGACGCAGCGAGCATCATACTGAGGAACACAAGGGCCTGTACAAGCGGCAGGGAGCAGCAGGGAGCAGCAGGGAGCAGCAGGGAGCAGGAAACGGCATGCGCGCAGTCACAGGGCGCCCTACCGCGCATCACAGGTTGGGTGCGGCTCACCTTGCAGCAGAGGCTGTCGCAGCGAGTCCTGTGCTTCTGGATCCTCGTCCGCTCCTAGACCATCACTGCTGCCCGCACCGCCACCACCAGCAGCAGCAGCGCCGGCAGCAGCATCGGCATCAGCAGCAGCAGCAGCAGCAGCAGTGCGAGCAGCACGGGGTGAGATAGCTGGGTGTGCGGAGGGCACAGCGAGCACCACGTGGTCAGACGATTGTGTAGTAGATCCAGTGGCAGCAGCCTCAGCAGCAGCGGTAGGAACAGTGGCGGAAGCAGCGGCCGGGGCAGTGGTGGGAGCAGCGGTAGGAGCATTTGCAGGGGTGGCTATGTCTTCATGAGGAGTGGAAGAAGGGGTTGAGGAGGCGGGGAGGGAGGAGGAGGGGGGAGCAGAGGAGGGGAGAGCGGAGGAGGCGAGAGAGAAAGAAGGGGGAGGGGCAGTGCCTGGGAGGGACCAGCGGAGAGGCGATTGGCGAGCGGCAGATGGGGGAGGGGCGTCTGCTGCTGCTGCTGCTGCTGCTGCTGCTGCAGGGGACGAGATATGGGGGGTGGAGGGAATGAGAGCGAGAGCAGTGAGGATGAGGAGCAATGGTTGACGAGGGTGGGGAGAAGTTGAAGGAGGAGAAGAGACATGCGTAGCTTCAGCATGACATGCAGGGAGTCCCATGAACGAGAGCACACACGGGCGACAAGGGAGAGAGAGGCAGTGAAGGGATGCGAGGGATGGCAGAGGGAAAACGGCATATGAACAGAGGGAGACATGCGGGTGGGAAAGATGAGGGATGAACAGGAGGGGGATGGACAGGGATTAACCTTTGGGCGGCGGGATGGTGTGGGCATTGTCTGTGTCTCCGCCTTCCTTCTTCGCCTCTTGCTTCTCGTCCTTCCCCACACCGACTGGTGCTGCTGCTGGTGGCGGGTCAGTGGTCGCTGCGCCTGCTGCCACGTGCTCGGCTGCAGGGGTCGCTTCTAGAGTGCCATTCTGACACATACATGCATGCCCACATGCCCACACGCAGACATAAACACAAGGACATATTCACACGACCGACACAAACCAAATTATCGGACAGGAGATATTGCACTGCCTGTCAAATGCCGTGCATCCAGCACCCACGAGAGCAACCGACCGACCCAACCAGGCATATGTGAGCCCGCGTTGGTTGGGTGGCGGAAAGGTGGATGGAGGGGTGGCTGATCAGGTGGGTGCATGGACGGGTGCGAGGGAGACAGAGAGATGGAGTGAATAGGGGAGGAGGAGGGGGGGGAAGGAGATATTAAAAGAAAGCTACCTGAATAGGGGACGGGTCGCTCTTCTCAGCACCTTCCGCCAGCGCCGCTGCAGGCGCATTGGGTGGGGGCGCAGGGTCCCGCGGTGGAGGATCGGCGCGGGCAGGAACAGACCACCAGCTGAGCCGCGGAGATATTGGCGTGTGGGGGGAAGGGGAAAGGGGGAAAGAGGGGGGAGTGGCGGGGACGGGAAGGGGGAGAACAAGGCGGAGAGGGGGAAAGCGGAAGAGGCATGGGCGGGAAGACGGAGCGTCGAGTAACGGAGGAAAGACACACAGAAATTTCCTGTCGAGGCCCTTTCAGTGACTTGAGAGTGTTAACAACCTAGTATTCCTGCGGCTTCGTAACAGGAATGGACTAGGGTACGATGCACACGCGCATGTGGGAGACGACGCGCATGTGGGAGACGACGCGCATGTGGGAGACGACGCGCATGTGGGAGACAACGCGCATGTGGGAGACGACGCGCATGTGGGAGACAACGCGCATGTGGGAGACGACGCGCATGGCGCGGTAAGTCCCGTCGTCGCCTTACCCTGGTAGCTCACCTTAACATAGCGGCCGGTGGGGCGAGCGACCCGAGCTAGTAAATCAGGTACTAACTGCGCGTGTGCGAGTGCCGCGTTCGAGTCACGGCGAAGCGAGCGCGACGCGCATGAATCTGTACAGCCACACAGGTGGACGGTAGCAGCAGGCACAGCTGACGAATGTAGCAGCAGCAAGCACGAAGACCAATGCCGCCTCTGCTGCACACAAGCAACCAGCAATTTCGTGCGAATGTGCCGTGTTGTCATTGCGTGCATGAATTGTGGGAGGAGGGGGGAAAGTTGCGGCTTGAATTTGTTGGGGGGAGCAACAGAAATATAGACCTGTTTTTTGGGTGGATGGATGGGCCTCACAAATAATTCAAGTGACAGTGGCTTCAATCCTGTGTAAAATCATTCTCCGACTTATGTCTTTGTGACTCGTTGCAAGGTTGAGATTATCCAATGGAGGCACAGCTGTACTTTTATGAACTATATTTTCAAAGTAGACTCTGCCCGCGAATTCCCTCCGCGCACCTGCCTCTGCGCCCAGTAGATTCGCGCAATCGCCCCGGAAGTTGGGGAGGAGCAACCAGTGAGGTTCCTCCCGATGGCCTGGCACAGGCCCAAGATCCCAAGACCTGCCTGTGATTTGCCAGAAAGTGTAGACTGGAGGCACGTCGTCCAGTGTGACAGACCCGTTTCCGGAACCGACAAAGAAAACCCAACAAATACAGTTCGATATCATGAGCTCTTGTATATAATTATTGTCAGTTATGAAAATGCATACCCCATATATACTGGAAAAGTTAGGCAGACCAGAGGTTGGACTAGATGCCAATCAATGAAGAAACAGTTAGCAAACCTTGGCTATAATATTTCGTAGCACCCATTTCATCCAGCTGTTGCATTTCAAGCATCTCCACCTGCAAGGCTGCTTCTCCCATCATCTTCCGCCATCCCTGCGCCACTCACAATGCCCATGAGAAACCTCTCCAATTCTGTGTCCACACCACCCTCCACCTCCACACTCCCCTCCCTATCTCTGCCCACCTGTCCTCCACCTTCCATCTGCCCTCCCTCCCACATTGCAGCATCCAAGTCAGAACCAGCAGACTCGGACCATGCAGCTGATACAGTATCCTGAAACGAGCCGCTTCTACGAGTCTGCTGGACCTGTTGTGCCATGGCCGCTGGGGCGTAATATGCGGGAAACCCAACCCCTGTTCCTGCCCCATGCTGCCCACTAGCATGCTCATTTCCACCCGTGACTGCCGTCCTCGCAACAGCTCCCGCCTGAGACCCCTCTCCTCCCCATTCTTGTCCCCGCGCTGCCCAGCGCATCTCACTCACGCCCAGCGCAACCTGTCCCTGACCCTCCCGCCTCTCCTGACCCTCCCTCGATTGCTCCGCCTCCACCATCATGCCCCCTCCCGCGCCATTCCCCCCCCCAGGCGTCTCCACAGCTGCGCCACCCCCTCCCCTGGCTGTCCTCTCCGCCGCTCTCAGGCTCTCCAGCAAGTCAGCAGCTTCGCGGCTACCAGAGCCCACCCCACCGCCCCCACCGCTTCCCATCGTTTGCGGGCCTGCGCCCATTGCTGCCCTTGCGCCCATTGCGCCAATCAGAAGGTCCATGTCTCTCTGAGAGCACTGCGTCCCTGTGCCTGCTGCGGCCTGCCTTAGAATCACGGCAGCGGCTGCAGCAGCCACAGCGAGGCTGTGCATGTCCACGGCGCCACTAGCGGAACCAGCAGTGCTGGTCCTCGTGCTGCTCCTAGGAACTAAAACGCTATCCGCAGGCTGCGGCGTAGTGCTTCCGCCCTGGAATGCCCTCAATGCTTGCTGCTGCAGCGAGCTATACGGCAGTGACGGATAAGTGGCGATGGCGGCGGTAGAAGTACTCGTCAAGGGTCTACCAGGCGGCGGATCTCCAGCGTCACCGGGCGTCGCATCAACGCGCGTTAAAGCCTGCATTTGCGACGACAGGCCGAGTGTAGGTTCTGACCCCGACGCTGTCGCTGCCACCCCGAGTATTCCACTCTGTCCCGCCGCTATTTGCCCCTCCGCGCCACGTGACTGAGGCCACATCATGCCAGGTGGTGCTGTTAGCATCTGAGTGTGCTGCGAGTCACGGCCTCCGCTTGCTGCATCTGCAGCCGCCGCTGATGCCAAGCCAGATCCTGGCTGCATTTGGTGCGCCTGCGCCTGCTGCTGCTGTTGTTGCTGCTGGTGCTGCTGCGGAGGCACTGGCGGCGGCAGCGGCGGCGAGTGAGTCCGCCGCGCAGTCTGCTGCTGCAGCTGTTGCTGTCGCCTCTGCTGCTGCCGCTGCTGCTGTCTCCGCTGCGTCCTACGAGCCGCCTCGCGGCTCGCCTCGAGCAGAATCTCCGCCGTGCCTCTCGGCAAGGCGACGGGCAGCACCTGCTGCCCAGGAAAATTCAGCCGAGCAGACCGACCGCGCAAAAGGCGTGCGGCCATGTCGTACACGCGAGCGGCCTCCTCCGCAGTGTCGTACGATCCGAGCCATATCCGTTGGCCCCGTACCGGCTCCCGAATTTCCGTCACCCATCTACCCCAGCGCCGCTGCCGCACTCCGCGGTACGCGGTGGGTCTAGCACCACCAATCGTAGTGTCGGTAATCTCAGAAGTTGTTCCTTCCGCTACAGCGGATTGCAATGGTTCAGTGGGATCAGGCGGCTCGCGAGGAGGGATGGGAGGTAGTTGATTGTGTGGATTAGCATTGGTTGCGTCGGTTGCGTTGGTAGGCTCTGGGTCGGAATCTCCTAGGGAGGGGGAGTTTGCGCTGGGGGATTGCTGACGGCGCGATGACGTGTGCGGTGAGTCGCCGTCTTCACCGCAGGGTTGAGCTTCGATCTCTTCCTGCATAACTTATACCACGCAAATCCGCATTACATGCGGTCCCACGGTTTCCTGAAGGGATGTCATGACTTAGTACCGGGCAATCATTACTAGAGTGCTAACCCGCTCGTGTGATGACGTATCCGCTCACATCCCCAACTGCTAGTATAATGCTCACTGGAAACTTGAATAAAAAGCTGAGTACCCAAGCTTCGCACGAACAGATATGAGCGCGGTTCATGTGCTGGCAGTCAAGAAGAGTCGGGAGAGTTGAGTTGGGAGAGAGGGATGTGACAAGGAGTTGGAGCGTGCGGAGTAGAGGTGAGACGTAATGAAAAGGGCTGGATTTGAGGAGGGTTGAACTTATGCGAGGTGAGCTGGGCGGGGCAGCGCAAGAAATCCCTTGCCTTGATTGTGGTCCTCCAGGCAAGGTCAAATCGAAACGCAGGCAGCGACTGCGCGACTCGCGTTTACACAGTAGCTTTCCGGAGCCGCTCAATGCCTCAACTACGACCACCTCCAAATTACAGCTTGTCGGCAGGTGTTGCTGAAATGTTACGCTGGACCAGATCTCCACAGCAGCTTGTAAGTTGTAACTCGGATTGATTTCTTCGAGCCAAGGTTGGAACTGCTCTTTCGTTTCAAATGTGGATCTTACGACCTGGGTTACATTTATTTCGCATCGCCTAGATGTTCGCATCCAACCCATCTGCGAGGTCGAAGTGCTAACAGGCTTCGAAGTACTTTCGAACAGGTCGTCACGAAGGCTGCTGCGACACGTCAACAACCACACATGTGTCGCCCAGCCTGCCACACTGGCCGCCGGCGACCCTCGTTAGATCGACTGCTTTCCGTCGCTCCCTCACCAGATCCTCTCCGCATCGCTCTTTTGCATCAGCCGCTTTCGCCATTCCTCGCAAAGTTGAACTGTCGGTGTCCATCACCCCAACCAATACTCCAAACCAGAGTCCCGAACCAAACTCGAATCCCTTATCTCACCAGTACCGCACGTACACTCGCCCACGTCACATCCATCAGGGCGTGGAATTGGTTGTTGGGGCCTAATGTAACAGTTTTGTTCCGCCGTCGGAATTTCAAGGATTTTCGCTGGCGTCTCGTTATGTCGCAGAACTCGCTCCAGTCACAAGGCAGCAAATACACTTCCGAGAAGTCCATAGCTAACACCTACTCTTGCTCTACACAGCTGGTTGAACCGTACCCTCACTCAACATTTTGGCAAACCATATCCAGAACTCAACCAGAAACATTCAACAGGGCATTAGGCAGCTCATTCGTGGAAAGCGCTCATGTCGGGTATTCATACCAGTAATCCATCCTTTCAAACACAAACACAAGAATATACTTTCGCCCATTTTCTACTCCTACCCCTCAACTGTTCACCACCGCCCCATTTCAGATAAACCTCCTGAGAAACCCTTACAGCATTCCCGTTGCTGACAGTCACACAGCAGCACCTGCTTCTGCTGAAGCTACCGCTGCCCCTTCAGCTGCCCCCGCTCTCTTCTGTAATTTCTGCACAAGACCTGCTGCAGCCACCACCTGTTCCTCCCTATCTGCAACCAGCTCTAGAAGCGCCTTCTTTATGGCCTCATCCTCCTCCACACTCCGGAAAACCTCCACACTCCTGGAGTTTCCATCCCCAGCAACAACCACCCGGTCTGAACTCACTCTCTCACTCTCACTCTCAGCACCTTTCCCTTCCCCTGTTCCGCTGATTATCCTTCGCTTGCCCTCTTCCGTGCCCTCCTCTGGTGCATCAACTGACACTGGGACCTGGTACATGACAAACATCTGCTTGTTATTCTCATATACTTTCAGATCCACAACCCGCTTCTCCCAACCCCTCCTGCTCCTCCTCTTCTTGCTCCGCCTCTCACCACCACCACCGCCTGCACCCACCTCCCCGTTCCCCTCCCCCTCACCGCTCTCCTGCCCTCTCGCTCTCTTCACACCGCGGTCCCGCCCCCGCCCCTGCGCGCCCTTCACTCCCAGCTCTTCCAGTTTGACTCGGCTGGTAACCAGGCGTTTCCATGCGCGCCGGCCAGCACTGCCCATGGAGGGCAGGTGCAGGAACAGTAACACCTCCCAGCACCGCTCCACCTGCTTCCTGTTCAGATGCAGCTGCTCCCTCGCGTCTTCTGCCATGCTGCTGGGTAGGATCAGTAGGGACTCCATTGCTGTTATCGCCTCGCTGCTCTCCTCCTCCTCCTCTTCCTCCTCCCTGCTCTCCTCGTCATCCCCGCCCTCCTTACCGTCCTCGCTGTTACCTCCGTCCCCACCCTTTGTTCCTCCTGCTTCTGCCTCTCTCCCTCTTCCCTCCTCTTGCTTCTTCTCCTCCGTGCCCTGCTCGCCTTCCTTGCTCTCCTTCTCCTCCTCTCCCTCACCCCCTCCACCACCATCGCCACCAGCACCATCACCATCGCCACCAGCACTATCACCAGCAGCAGGAGGAGCAGCAGTGGTGGGCAAGCGAGCACTAACAAACCCAGTGACCCGCGAAACAGCCGACTGCACGGCAGCAGCAGCAGAAGGCAGGGCGAGCAGTCGCACGCAGTCAAGGGCCTCCCTTAGCTGCTGCAGATCATCTGATGGGTCCTCCACTGTGATGTCATATGCATGCACTCGGCATGCCATGGCGTGCACTTGGTTCAACAGCCGCGACCCGTGCCCCATGGCCTGGTACGGCGGCAGCACTAAGATCTGAGGGGTGGATGCGCGGTTGTGGTGTGCAGGCAGGAGGGGGGAAGCCAAAACGGGGAGAGGTTTGTGTGGGGGAGGGGAGAGAGGAGGAGGGCAGGGGAAAAAAAGGATTAGGAAATCAGGAGGAGACGAGCAGGCATTTGGAAAAGGAGAGCAAGCACAGCCATGCTTGGGCCCTCCACTCCTCCACAGCCCTAGAAACATGCTACTTCCTCCCCTGCCCACACCACCAGCAGCAGTACCTGACTGAGCCGAAGGCGTGAGCTGTTGGGGTGGTGGTAGAAGGAGTAGATAGTGCAGAACCCCACCACCACTACCTCCTTCTCTCCCTTCACTGATGCTGCTGCACCCGCCTTCGCATCAGAGGGAGCAGAGGGAGCAGATGAGGCAGCAGCAGTGGCAGGAGGAGGAGGAGAGGCAGCGGAAGGGAGGGCGGGGCGTTGCAGAACGACTGAGAGCGTCCAGAGAGGGTCCGTGGAGTCGATGGGCTGTCCGTCTGGTGGGCACGGCGAGGCGAGCAAGTGGGGAGGGCGGGGCGAGCAGGGTGGGCGTGGGGGGGACGTGAGGGGTGATTGGTGAAGGTGGGAGATGCCTGGGGAACGAGGGCGAGAGTAAGAGAACAGGTGACAGCAGCAACACTAATGGAATGAGAAGGGACACGGAGACGAGTGATGCCTGGTATGCAAAGAGGGCCAGAACAGGCCAAGAACGGATCTTGCAGGCAAGTCCAAACAGAGGTGGGTCGAACGAAGATAAACAAGCAGAGGAGGGGATGCATTTAAATGGCATGAGGAATTCTAGTGGACGGACTTGGGATGAGAAGATGAGGATTTATAGAGTAGGAGTTGAAAGATGCGGGAGAGGCAAGCAGGCAGGCAGGTAGGTGGTGAGTGGTTACTATCAATGAAGAACTTGACGAGTGGCTGCATGCGCGCATGCCAGTGAGATGAGAAGTTGAGGTCTTATAGATTAGGAGTTGAGAGCGGGAGAGGCAGGCAGGCAGGCAGGCTAGCAGGTGGTGAGTGGTTAGCGGTTACTGTCAATGAAGAACTTGACGAGAGGCTGCATGCGCGCATGCCAGTCCCGCACACACTGCTGTGATAGGTCCATCGTTACCACCTGCACGCATGGGGGGTGGGGTGTGATGGCATGGGATGACATGGGATGGGATGGGATGGTAGCATGGGTACACACGTTTTACGCACACGGACCGTGTTCCGTCTCTTTGCACAAAACTCCTATCAAAGCATGGAAATACACTCTGTATGCATGCACTGTATAAAAGATAAACTCGATACGCAGACTGACCCGTGCCGTGTGTCTCGACCATATACAGCAGTAACTGAACTCACATTCAACAGACCCAACAGCAGCATTATGCGTAACTTTGAGGCCTATTGAGCTCCATAGGACTCACCTCACACTCAGCTCAATAGGACTCACCTCACACTCAGCTCAATAGGACTCACCTCACACTCAGCAGCCGCTTTTGTATCATCAGCAGCGCCACCACCTTTGTAACCATCATCTGCTGCTGCTTTCGCCGCTCCATTACTTCCCTCCTTTCCATCTTCTGTGCTCTCTCCCCCGCTGCCTTTCTGCTTCACCTGCTGCCATGGCTGCTCCACTGTTGCGTGCTTTGACACCATGTCCCTGCGGGGGAATGGGGGTGGTGGGGCATCATCTCATCCATGAGACTACATTCTAGTGGGCTTGAAAGCTGGCTCAAGATGCAAGGTGGTGGTGGGGCCGACCGAACGAGGAAGGAAAAGTTGAACTGGCAAGATGGGGGGCGTGAAAGCGAGGGAAGCACACAAGGGTGGAAGGGGGAGGGAGGGAGGGAGGGAGGGAGGGAGGGAGCTCACCGGAAGAGCTGGGGTTGGAGAGGAAGGGCTGTAACGAACTCCTCCCTTGACGTCATGAAGCCCTGGGGGAAGAGCGACTGCACGCAGGTGGTGTGGAGTGGTGCAATGCAGTGTGGTGCGGTGTCGGGTAGTGTGGTGTGGGGGGTTATGCTTATCAACCAACCAACACCTGGAATCATAACAAGCAAGCAACCGAGATGAGAGGGCCATGCCAGACCAGGCCAGACCAGGCCAGACCAGGCCAGAAAAGACCCCGCGGTAGTCAATGGGAGACACGACACCGTGACAACACAAGTACACAATACACGCGAGCCCTTGTTATAGTGGACTTCCAATCTAAAACGACAAAGAAAGAAAAAAGCGCGGGCCAAACAATTGCTGAAAAGCGTCAATGATGCTTGAGTGCAAAATGGGGTCACTCTACGGCCTCAGGAGCATGCCCCGATGCGATCTCAGGGGCTGTTGAAAGTTGAAGGCTCACGCCAAGAGGAAGAGAGGAGGGAGGGAGGGAGCAAGAGAGGGAGGGAGGTAGAGAGAGGGGGCATGTCCCTTGGGGACTGCCTGGCCATCTTAGAGCCGGTGCTGGAGCTCCCTTAGACGGAGCAGAGGGGGGGGGGGGGGTGAGTGGGATGTGTGGGTTAGAGGATGATTTGTATGAGTAGCATCTCTATCCTTTGCATGTCTGTACTTGCTTGGATCTAATACACGGACCGCTTGGGAGGTAGCGAGGGAGGGAGGGAGGGAGGGAGGGAGGGAGGGAGGGAGGGAGGGAGGGAGGGAGGGAGGGAGGGAGGAAGAGAGGGCAGAGGTGGCGTGCCTTGAAAATGGCATGGATGTCATGAGGCTCCCTGTGATCGCTCGCCTGCTTCTTCGCCTTCTTCTTCGTCTGCTTCCCATGGCCGCACATGCACACACACGCACACACTCCCCCCCACAAACGGCGTGCATACACACACACACACACACACACACACACACACACACACACACACACACGGACAAGGGACAGTAACAGGATGCAGCAAGGCGAATAGGTGGGAAGACAGAGCATGAGGGAGCGCAAGCAAAGGGCTTACGAAACGAGGAAAGAACACGGAGGCAGCGAGGCACGGGACGAGCAGGAGACAGTGACGGGAGGCAGAAAGCGGAACGCAAGGAGCGAATAGGAGGTGCAGATGGTGGGTGGGCGTGCCTTGGGCAATTCATGCGAGTAGGAGATGTCGATGAAGGTGAGGAAGGTGGACGCATGCATCCATATGTCCACCTGGTGACGCATGATGTCAGGGCAGGAGGGGTGGGGTGGTTCGATACACTGTGAGAGCCATGTGGCATGGCATGGGCATGGCATGGGCATGGCATGGCACAACATGGCATAGCACGGAAGTGATGACAGGACTCATATCAATAGGACGTTGAATCTGATGCAAGTCACCTAAGCCATCCCAACCCAGGCACAGTAACACACCACATGCACACATACATACCACATGCACACATACATACATACCACATGCACACACAACACATGCCCAACCATGAACGTTCCATCCCACCCCAGAATAGCACGGTCATACTCCCTCTTACATGATTCGCAATTCCCACACGCACCTGCAGGTCCTTGTAACCGTACAGCACACACCTGCAGGTCCTTGTAACCGTACACGATGCCATCGTCCCCGAACATTTGGTGCACGTACTCCGGGCAGCACTTCACACTGCCCTCGCCACGCTCCTCCCTCTCCACATCCTCCACTCCCCGCACTGCACTTCCAACCATGCCCACGGCATGGCGTGGCATGGCATCGGGCGGCACAGCGAATCCAGTATGGAAAACGAGGAGCAAGGAGGGGGAATGCGAAGAGGAAAGCCGTGAGCTTGAGGTGAGGGTAAGTTCCCCGCTGACGACTCATACGGGTTGGTTGGACACAAGCTGAGGGAAAAGGAAAAGTTCAAAGACGTTCCAGAACGGCATACCAGGGGGAAGGGGAAAAGGGAATGTGGCAGGTAACAACGGGTTTGGCTTAAACGGCAGTCAGTCAGTCCTACCCAGCAGAATGGTGATGCAGTCTTGCGCGTAGCTCTCATACTCGCCCAATGGCTCCTTCCCCTCCTCCTCATCCTCCTCCTTCTCTCCGCCCGCTCCCTGCGCTTCTTCGTGCCGCCGCTTCTTCCCCTCGCGCATCGCCTGCGCCTCCCGCTCCCGCTCGTCGTCCGAGTCCCCGTCCCGCCAGTTTATCCCCTTCCCGCATCCCACTCTGCGCGGCTCCTGCGCTGGCTGGTGGCGCGCGGAAGACCCCGCGCCATCTCCGTCGTCTGGGGGGAAGAGGCGGAGAGGAAGTCGCGTGTGGGGGGGGTGGGGAAGGGGGAGGGGGAGCGGGGAGACAGGTGCAGCGGAGCGCGGAGGAGCAGCGGGAGAGGGAGGCGATGGAGTGTGAGGGGAGGGTCTGGGGGATAAGTGGGTTGTTTTGAACTCCCAAACACCAACTGGATGGGGCTCGGTGGACTAGTAACTATCAGGTCGTCGCCTACGCGCACGTCGACGTCTCTAATCCCGCCTCATACTAGATCGCCACGTCATCGCGTCGCCGCTGGCTTACGCCAGCTGTAGCGGAAAAGCAGGGAATACAGCACGGCTGGCAACGGGGCGCGGACCCAGCTTCGCTCACCCGGCACGGAATGGACTCCGCTGGGTGACTACAAGACAGCCTAGGCAAAGAATAACGCGCGTGGTAGAATGGCTTTAAGGGAGAGACCCTGCGACGCGACTGGAAGACGAGACGCGACGGGCGCAAGAGGGAAGGATGGCGGGTTAGAGAGGGATGAGTGAGTTAGGAGAGGGTTGGATTATTACCAGAGCTGAAGTGAACGCGCTTCGATTTGGGAGGCTCGGACATGACACGTGGTTAAAATTGTCCAAAGGCGGCGAAAGTCAATTAGAAAAGTGTAAAATCTATCGGAAGCTATAGATCTCGGCCACCGCGCTCCAAGATTCCTGTGCCAACAGAGTTTTCTCCATCGAGAGACGACGGTGTCGGGCCTTTGGATTTGGAATTTCAAATGTTTGTTCGACATGGTTTGAGGATCAGAGCAATCCGCTAAATTTGTTCGCCTTACATGTTGTAAGGAATTTTCTCGTGTTACGGGTGCATTGGAACTAGGTAGCGAGGATTGCACTATCTGGGTCAAAAGTACAAAGTATGAGCTAATACTTAGATGGCGTTCACAGCAAGTTCCCCCAAGCGAAGTAGCCCCAAGAGGCCCAAAAGTGGGTCCAGCGTGGCAGTTTTGCAACTGACCACACCCACTCCACGTGCCACGCGAATGTGGATACACACATAGACGAGTTTGAGCGAATCATCAAACCCAATGAGGGGCATGTAACCCCGTAGACTTCAAGATCGCTCATGACAAACTTTCGTGAAGCAACCCCAAACGCGTGCTTCACAAATATCTGTGCACTGTTGTTGAGCGCGGTTCGCTTTGGGGGAACTTCCTGTGAACGCCATCTTAGGGCGCATCTTTGGTTCGGGTCATGCACTGATTGCGTCATCCGAGATTCTTGGAAGACCAATCAGGTGCATTTTAGTTACAACACTCGAATACCATCGGTCCTTCCTTGACCCAAAGTGTACTGATGACCCAAAGTGGCCTTATGACCCGAACCAGAGATACGTCCTTATCTGCGGAAACATGCAACGGTTACACGGTGCTTGCGAGCTAGCTAGTGCTAGGCTGGCATCAAGGTTCGGGCTAGTCCCGAAGCGTAGGCCGACTCGGCCAGGCCAGCGGTGCATGGTTTTGTAAAACAGTGCGCGCGAAGCCCCGTTAGCAGTAACGGGCGAACAACGGCTGCTGCTGTAAGTGATGTAGATGGTCGCGGTAAGGAATGTCGAGAAAAAGCGCAGCCATGTGACCCGGCGGAAGAAAAACGCTCGGAACGAATGCTTCCAGCCCCAAAACGCGGAAGGATCCGCACATGTGCACGAAGTGCAGCGGGTGCTCTTCATTCGCGAGCGCCGATGACCGATGATGCTCGCAACCCTCCCACGCATTGCTGGCTTGGTAATAGGCACAGACAAGAACAGCCACGTGACTCGGCGGAAGAAAAACGCTCAGAACGAGCACCCGTACCCCCAAAACACAGAAGGATCCGCACACGTGCAGGAAGTGCAGCGGGCGCTCCGGGCGCTCTTCATTCGCGAGCGCCGATGACCGATGATGCTCGCGACCCTCCCACGCCCTTGCTGGCTTGGTAATAGGCAAACAAGCACAGCAATGTGACCTGGAGGAAGAAAAACGCTCGGAACGAGCGCTTCCACCCCAAAAACGCGGAAGGATCCGCACATGTGCAGGAAGTGCAACGAGCGCTTTTTATTCGCGAGCGCCGATGACCGATGAAGCTCGCAACCCTCCTACACCCTTGCTGGCTTGGTAATAGGCCCAGACAAGCGCGGCTACGTGACCCGGCGGAAGGAAAACGCTCGTTACGAGCGTTTCCACTCCCAAAACGCGGAAGGATCCGCACATGTAACAGGAAGTGCAGCGGGCGGTTTTCATTCGCGAGCGCCGGCGATCGATGATACTTGCAACCCTCCCAAGCCCAGGCACAGACAAGTGCAGCCATGACCTGGCGGAAGAAAAACGCACGGAACGAGCATTTCCAGCCCCAAAACGCGGAAGGATCCGCACATGTGCAGGAAGTGCCGCAGGCGCTCTCCATTCGCGAGCGCCGATGACCGACGATCCTCCCAAACCTCCCACGCTCTTGCTGGCTTGGTAATAGGCCCAGAAAAGCGCAGCCACGTGACCCGGCGGATGAAAAACGCTCCGAACGAGGGCTTCCAGCCCCAAAACGCGGAAGGATCCGCACATGTGAAGGAAGTGCAGTGGGCGCTCTTCATTCGCGAGCGCCGTTGACCGATGATGTTCGCAACCCTCCCACGACCTTGCTGGTTTGGTAACAGGCCTAGACAATCGCAGCCAACTTGTCATTGCATATTCGAGTGGCCCATGTTCAAATACACCAATTGGAGCTTTTCGGCCTGGTTCTTGCGCCAAGAAAAGTCCGGCGCCCATGCTTTCGGCCGTTTTTGCCGACAAATGATCAAAGAGCACATGGGATTCCACAGGCGTAGGGAATAGCATTCAAGAACCTGATTGTCATTGCATATTCGTGTGGCCCATGTTCAAATACACCTATTGGAGCCTTTTCGTCCTGGTTCTTGCGCCAAGAAAGGTTTGGCGCCCATGATTTCGGTTGTTTTTGCCGACAAATGCGCAGAGATAGCACGGGTCCCTACAGGCGTTGGGAAATGCATTCACCAACCTGGTTGTCATTGCATATTTGAGTGCCCCATGTTCAAATACACATATTGGAGCCTTTTTGGCCTGGTTCATGCGCCAACAAAGTTCGGCGCCCATGATTTCGGTCGTTTTTGCGGACAAATGCTCAAAAAGCGCACTTATCCCTACAGGCGTAGGGAAAAGCATTCAACAACCTGATTGTCATTGCATATTACGGTGGCCCATGTTCAAATCTGCGGAGAATTCTATTCTAAGGGAGAACTGAATTGCGTGTGATGCACGGTCAGAGTTCTGGCAGTGATTCTGGACAGAGTGTTTGAATGACTTAGTAGAATTCGAGCATAGTTTCACTAAGGAAAAATTGATAGAACAAGATTATGGTACAAGGAAGGAGATCCCCAAATAGCAAGCACAATGAACCATGGAGAAACGTTCCTCGACAATCATACACCTTTGCGGAGTCAGCAACGGCAGGTGAAACGACAAACACTTGTGTCTTTCTCCTGGATTGGCAATTTCTCAGGTTTACAACTGTCAGAGTTGTTTACGTTTTTACTGTTAGTAAAAACGTGCTTCAGGTTCAATTTCTTACTGATTCGAAATCTCCTGGGGAGTACAATTTCCGAAATGCTCTGATTGCTCGAAATTTGCTGTTTCGCGATTGGTCGAAATTCGCGCACATCGCGAATTTTGGAGACACGTAATTTTGTCGACCAGAAACGCTCTGCTCGACGGTGCCTGTTTCGATCTCAATTCTGTCGACAAGCGTTTCGTCGAAACGCTGTTTTCTATCATTTCGTCGACCCGCAAGGCTCGATTTCGACGCCGTTTTGCTCCCCTCGACAAGTGCCGCGTCGAGGGGCAGTTGCGTTGAGCAGAAACAACACTTCAATTTCGACGAATTAATCTCGTCGAAAATTGACCCGTCGTTCAGAGATAAAAGTCCCTGAAGTCGCCGATGACCACGAAACGAACACCGTTGTGCTCTAAAAAGCATGGCCGACTTCGCCCAAGCGAGGGCGGGGCCTTTTCTCCTCGACAAAATCCACCTATTGGAGCCTTTTCGGCCTGGTTCTTGCGCCAGGAAAAGTTCGGCGCCCATAATTTCGGCCGTTTTTGCCGACAAATGCTCAGAGATCGCACGGATCCCTACAGGCATAGGGAAAAGCATTTATCAACCAGATTGTCATTGCATATTCGAGTGCCCCATGTTCAAATACACCAATTGGAGCCTTTTCGGCATGGTTCTTGCGCCAAGAAAAGTTCGGCGCCCATGATTTCGACCGTTTTTGCCGACAAATGCTCAGAAAGCGCACGAATCCCTACATGCGTAGGGAAAATCATTCAACAACCTGATTTTCATTGCATATTCGAGTGCCCCATGTTCAAATACACCTATTGAAGCCTTTTTGGCCTGGTTCTTGCGCCGAGAAACATTCGGCGCCCATGATTTCGGCCGTTTTTGTCGACAAATGCTCAGAGAGCGCACGAATC